AGAATACACAAATAGACACCCCCATAAGGAACTTTAATGCAGCAACCATAGTACATATACGCATAGAAACTTCTTTAAAAGGGATACATACTTTATTCCATAAACATCCTTATAAAAGATACATGTTTTTTAGGGATATTAACTCTGACAATGCTACAAATTACTTCCTTTACAGCATGAAAGGAACTATCAAAGAAAGGGAGACTACTCCACATATATTTAATAAAAGTACATTGACTCTGATAATACTACAAAATACTTAATTTAGATGTTAACCGCGCTCTAATATCCACAAAATAAATAAATCAAAAGTGCTATGTGCTTATAAATAAATAAAATATAAAAATAAATAGTGTATCATGATTGTAATTTTGTAAAAATAATTTAAATTGATATTAAACGTAGCTCATTGTACGGAATAATTCATATCATATTATTATACCTCAAAATGTGCAATACTTTGACATTGTGCAACTTTTCCTTAAGTGTGAAACATATGATTTGATAGAAAATTTAAAAAGTGGATAAAAAGTGATAAATCAAAATAAGAAATATATATATATATATATATATATATATATATAAATAATTAATTAAAAAATTAATGAAAGAATTCATATATAGATAATAGATAAAACAGTCAAAAAGTCTCTAGATAAACGACAATTGTAGCCCACTATGCACAATGGATGTCCAGCTTGGATGGATAAACTCTCCTTCTATATGAAGATCTGATCTTTGCTGTGATGTTGCAAGCCTGTGTGGCTGCAGGACTGTGAGGGACACTCCCTTCTCTGATCCTAGGGGGAGGGGCAGTGACGTCATCGCGCAATTTAACAACGATATGGCGAATACTGAGGGTGTTGACACACACCGCTCGTTTGATTCAGCTATAAGCTGTGGGAGATTTGATACATATACAAAGCGATTTTGTTACTTTTAAAATGTGAGTGCAATAGAGAAGCACAATAAAAGGCTGTTTTATCCCTGGGATAAGGCACATTATTTTAAGTTCCTTTTCTTACATGTTATACACGAGGAGCACAGAAGCAGGGGACTAGGGAGTGGATCAGAGAAGGGAGTGTCCCTCACATATGATATGAATTATTCCGTACAATGAGCTACGTTTAATATCAATTTAAATTCTTTTTACAAAATTACAATCATGATACACTATTTATTTTTATATTTTATTTATTTATAAGCACATAGCACTTTTGATTTATTTATTTTGTGGATATTAGAGCGCGGTTAACATCTAAATTAATTTCTTAAAAACGCACATCAGAGGAGAGTGGGCTCATTAACCAGCGATCTAGAATTTATATTTTCATAATATACCTCAGTGGCTCGCAAGTCAATTTGTTTGTACTACAAAATACTTCCTTCACAACATGAAAAAAACTCCCAAAAAAAGGGAGACTATCCAGACGCGTTTCGATTCATTCCATTTTTGATCTTCTTCAGGAGTCATAGACACAGAAGAAATTTCTAAACAGACATACAAGAGTAAATGATAATATGTACATAAATAATAAATAAATAACATTAAAGTGATTGCCAGAATTATAATTACAAAAGGATTGAACAAGCATTAATCAGAGCAATTATAAGTGATATTCAGGATAGGACTACATATTCCAAGGCCTCAACGGCATGGACCAACCAAAAGAGCAAGAGTGGTCAGATATACATCCTGTGGTTGACAGCAACTGAGGAACACCGAATTACCCTCAATATTCCTCTATAAACATCATAGTAGATATAATGTAAATTAGATACAAGGCCAATTAAATAGGTCCAAATATTGATATCCTGATAAATCTATAAGGATCTATAAGATAAATCTATAAGTACTTATAGATATTGTGGTGAAGACATCACAGATCTCATAATTATGAGTTCTGTGATGTCTTCACCACAATAGCAATAAGTACTCCAGTCTTTTGTGCTCATCTACCATGTTCTCAAATGGTTAGTCTTGTTCTTATAGATTTATCAGTATATTAATATTTGGACCTATTTAATTGTCCTTGTATCTAATTTAAATGATATCTTCTATGATGTTTATACAGTAGAGGTATATTGAGGGTGATTCAGTGTTCCCCAGCTGCTGTCAACCATAGGATGTATATCTGACCACTCTTGCTCTTCTGGTTGGTCCATGCTGTTGAGGCCTTGGAATATGTAGTCCAATCCTGGATATAACTTATAAGTGCTCTGATTAATGCTTGTTCAATCCTTTTGTAAGTATAATTATGGCAATCAATTTAATCTTATTTACTTATTATTTATGTGCATCTTATCATTTACTCTTGTATGTCTATTTAGAAATTCCTTCTGTGTCTATACTCCCAAAGAAGATCAAAAATGGAATGATCGAAACGCGTCGGGGTAGTCTCCCTTTTGTTGTGAAGGAAGTAATTTGTAGCATTGACAGAGTTAATGTTCCTTAAAAAACATGTATCTTTTATAAGGATTTTTATGGAATAAAGTATGTATCCCTTTTAAAGAAGTTTCTATGCGTATATGTACTATGGTTGCTGCATTAAAGTCCCTTATGGGGGTGTCTATTTGCGTATTCTATTGTATTGGGATGAGCAGCTAGATACTCGACCTTCTGGTTATGCTTCTCATCCGTAGGAGTGTTAATTGCTTATTTTCTGTAACATGGCTTTTAAGCTTTGGCATTGTAACAAAATATGTAATTCCTTCTGAGTCTATGTCCCCCCGAAGAAGATCAAAAATGGAATGATTGAAAAGCGTTTGATTAGTCTCCCTTTTTTGGGGGAGTTTTTTTCTTGTTGTGAAGGAAGTATTTTGTAGTATTGTCAGAGTCAATGTCTTTTTTTAAAATATATATGGAGTCTCCCTTTCTTTGCGAGTTCCTTTCATGCTGTGAAGGAACTAATTTGTAGCATTGTCAGAGTTAATGTTCCTTAAAAAACATGTCTTTTAAAGGATATTTATGGAACAAAGTATGTATCCCTTTTAAAGAAGTTTCTATGAGTATATGTACTATGGTTGCTGCATTATAGTCCCTTATGGGGGTGTCTATTTGCGTATTCTGTGGATGAGAAGCATATCATGAGGCATTGTTAGGTGCTCAAAGAGGATCCCACAGCACAATAATGCATTTCAGCCCAGCAAACCATTTAGAAATTTTAAACCTCAACTAAACCAAGAAACAGTAAAAAAAAAAAAAAAAAAAAAAAAAAGATTGTATAGGAACAATACCGAGGTCCTCTGAGCATGTTTTCCTATCTAATGTTCTACAAAAGAACCCTTTCACTCCTGCCATCCCCTACCAGGTTGACTCAGTTATTTGTGTCCTCATTCAGAGTTGCTGAGGAGTCTTCCCAATGAAACCAAACCTTCGCAAATTTTTTTGGGTAACCACGAGCTTCATATGTCTTCCTATAGAATGGAAGAGTGGAGTTAACCAACCACTTCCACATTGCCAAAGTTATAGACTCATCATAAATCCATCTCCTAGTCTCATCGTAATCATTTATTATTAGGTGTTCCTTGAAACCTGAAAGTTTTTTTAAGGGTTCCTTCTTGTTAAAAAGTTTGAGAAAGGCTGGTCTAATGTTATATGTATTATTAGCACTAACCTGTGTGCCATAGCAGATGGATTATTCCACAGTATTCAGTGATCCTAAGAAGCAAAACATCACACAGGTAAGATAGGTGCAAACAACTCACCCATGTTTGCAAGTCCATGACCCATACATACCGTGCCATGGAATCTATTTGTACAGTACATTGCAGGATCCTTTTATCAGTAATAAATAAAATGAAGATGTTGTTTAAGTGCATTGAGTGAAAACAATGAGGGTTATTTAAGTACTTTTTCTATGTTGCAGAGATCCCAGCTGCCTCCGTTGACCTCTCTCAGTTCAACTTTACTGATCTGGTAAATGGAATGCTTAACCAGGCTCTTAGGGGTGAGTGAATTCCCAAGTTTGCAGAAAAAATAGATTTTTATGACAAGTTCTTTTATCTGAAGTGAGATATTTTGAGGGGTTTTTAGACTTTTTTTTCTAATATAACATTCTTTTATTTCTTGTAGGATAAAATCCCCATTTGGCTAACCTTGTCAAAGCAGAAACATCTGAATATGAAGTCATGGCCAAAATTCTTCCTTTAGTTTTTCCAAACTTGAATTTACCATGAACTAGGTTCTAACATATGTAAATGACAGTCACCATTCTTTATTTTAGTTTTATGATAAAATGGGATTCTTTGGAGGGGTACCAATAATTTTGACCCATACTGCAGATATGATGCTATCAATGTTAAAATAAACCTGCTGCTCTCCAAATGTCAGAAATATTGTTAATATTATATTATATGTATATTGCATTCACAGGAACAGTTTCCCATGTCATTAGAATTTTAATGTACTTTTCTCCTGAGAACTAGGAGAATGCAGCTGTGCACACTTTTATTTGAAAATTTCAAGGGGTATGAATATTTTTTTTCAAGGCAGTGTAGAGTGCTACATAAATTGTTGGTTCTATATTAAAGTGTTACTAAACCCACAACAGTAAAATCAGTCTGTATATACAGTAAAGCATGCTTGTTATACTTACTATGAAGCCTAAGGAGTTAATCCTCTGCATTGTGTAAAAAGGCTGTTTGATCCTGTCTATTCTGATCCTTCCCTTCTTATACTGTCCCCAATCCATCTCCTGATTGTACAGAGCTCTAGGAGACACTCTGCACATGCTCAGTATTGTGTGTATTGCTAGGGAGGTTTCTTTGGGGAGAGTGCATGTGATCAGCAGTGGGCCAATCAGCACTGTCCAGACAGAGGGTTAGGGGTCATGCAGCCTCATAGGACAGTCAGAGCAGAATGAAAACTCCTACAAACTTTAACCAGTGCTTAGCTGGACACTGATGGAAATCACAAGACTGCTAAATACTGCTGATGAGAAAATGAATTTAGCAGTTTATATTTACTAAAATAATTGCATTTGCATGTTCTGTGTACTCTGGGATACCAGATATAGTGAATGCAGGGTCCTGGGAGACCAGATATAGTGAATGCAGGGTTCGGAGAAAACAAGAAATAGTCAATGCAGGGTCCAGGAAGATCAGATATAGTGAATGCAGGGTCCGGGGAGAGACCAGATATAGTGAATGCAGGGTCCGGGGAGAGCAGATATAGTGAATGCAGGGTCCGGCGATATAGTGAATGCAGGGTCCGGGGAGACCAGATATAGCAAATGCAGGGTCCGGGGAGACCAGATATAGTGAATGCAGGGTCCTGGGAGAGCGGATATAGTGAATGCAGGGTCCTGGGAGAGCGGATATAGTGAATGCAGGGTCCGGGGTTTAGTAAAACTTTAGTGCTTGTGATAAATAACATTTTACTGGAAAAAATATTTTGCTATCAGCCTGGAATTCATATATAATACCAATATTGATTTGAGATAATTATCAGGGCCCTGGATAAAGGGAGACCCTTAGCCCTCCTGTACAGGGCCCATGCCAGCCGGGTGAATCAGATGTGGGCAAGGATGGTGATCGGCGGATGGTGGGGGGGGCAATTTTTGGAACCGATCCCCTGTATGGCTCTCTCTGCAGCAGCTGAAAGCTGGCTTCTTCTCTTCTCCCTCCCGCTGGCTCTTAACTGCTGCAGAGAGCCGTACAGGGGACCAGTTCCAGTAATTGCCTCCCTGCCACACTCATCACCCTCTCTGTGCACCATACATTCCCCTGCTGCCCAGGCTCCCCTGTGTGCCCCCACCTGCACAGTGCTGTTGGCTTCCCTCCTCTTCTTCCCACTGGCAGCTGCAAGCACACAATAGATTTCTTCAGGATGGAGAGTGGGGGATGAGCCCGGTAAATATGTCACATTTACCAGCCCCTTCCTTTCCTGAATGAGAATAATGAGTGATTGGTACCAATCACTCACTGTGTTCATACATAACTGAAGCACTGTGAACTGTGTTTTTTTTTTCTTTGGTGGGGGGTTGTGAGATTGACTGTATGAGGCCCCATGGTTTCTATCAGCAGCCGATAATTATACTGATGTTATTAAAAAGATACAAACTTAGAACTAGAACACAGAACTAGATTAAACTGTATTTTTAAAAATTATTTTCCTGGATCTCTGCTGTTTTAGGCTCCATTCACACCCGCGCTTGTTGCAGAAATGCACTACAGTCCAATAAACATGGTTTCCTATGGAACATGTTCACATCTATGCTTTTTTGAGCTGCTGTGTTTTTAAAAAGGGTCAGGGACTTTTTTAAAAACAAAAAGCACAATTTTTGCTATAATAGAGTTCAATGGAGAAGCTGCTGAAAGGCATGACATTTGCATTTTTATTCTGCTCAGCAACAAAAAAAATTCCGCTTAAAAAAAAAAAGCTGAACAAAATGCAAAAATGCGTCAAGAACGCATCAAAAATTTAAAGATATGCGTGTAGAAAAATGCAAAGGAACTGCTAAAAGCACTGCAAAATGGACAAAAAGCAAACTGCATAGGTGTGAACGGGGCCTTATTGTAGAATCACTGTTTTGCTCACTATTATTGATGATTATTTGTTTTCCAGGAACAAAAAATTTCTTCTCCTTTCTGAGTGTGACGTCGTACAGTTCCTTTGCCTTCCACAAGGTTTCAATCCTTATTTATAATAGTATGTGTTGCTTGATTTTATCGATTTTAAGTCCTTCATTATAGTGTATCTAGAACCAAGAACAGGTATGTCATATATTGGAGCTTACCAGTCCTTAGATGTGGTGACTGCACTGGATTTCCCTTTTTTAGGTTAGTCTTCCTTAACCACTCAAAGACCACCTGCCTGCAATGTACTGCGGATGGGTGGCAGCTACAGGACCAGTGATGTACCCATACGTGTTTTTCCGGGCTTGGAGCTCACATACACGCGCCTCCCCGCTGGCCCCCATTCGCTGCAGGACATGTTTGATTTTTGTCTGGGACTCTGCTAATCTCCTGCAATGAATGGAGAAGCACAGCTGTGCCTGTATTTGTAAATCCATTCACAGGATCTAGCTGGATCTTCTCTCCCTGGAACCTTTATGTTCCAGGGAGAGAAGAAAGACACACCGCACGTGAGTAAAAGCAGCACATTTGCACCCACACCATAGTTAGATACATATTAAGCCCTTGATTGCCATTTTTAACCCTTTGATTTCCGCAGATGTTAACCCCTTCCTGCCCAGTGTCATTAGTACAGAGTCCGTGCTATTGGCTGTATTGGTGTCACCGGGGATGTAAGTGGCAGTTAGTCAGTTCCCCCCCAGTGTCAGAATGCCCGCCACAGTCCCACTATAAGTTGCTGATTGGCGTCATTACTAGTATAAAAAAAGAATAAATAAAAATTCCAGCATTTATACCGACATTTGTAGATTGCTATAGCTTTCATGTAAACCAATTAACCAGTTGCCGCCCAGCCTATAGCCAGATGGCGGCCGGGAGAACAGCTCGTCCCTCCGAGGAGATGCCATATGGCGTCCTTTCAGGCATTCACATTGCGCATGCCCGCATGGCCACGCTGTGGCGTGATCTGACACGGCTGATGACAGATCTGTGTACTGGCCCCGTTGCCAGTACCATGTGACCTGCTGTGACCAATCACAGCAGGTCACATGACAGTTGTATACAATGGATGGCTTTCTTTCATGCCATCCATTGTATACAAGTATGTCTAGCTGTGAATGGTCACAGCGATCATATGCACCAGCTGGGCCAATCACAGCCCAGCTGTGTCATGCCCGCATGGCCGCGCTTCGGCGCGATCTGTCACCGGCCGTGTACCTCGGGTACGGCCGATGACAAATCTGTGTAACAGCCCCATTACCAGTACCATGTGCCCTGCTGTGACCAATCACAGCAGGTCACATGACAGTTGTATACAATGGATAGCTTCCTTTCATGCCATCCATTGTATACAAGTATGTCTAGCTGTGAATGGTCACAGCGATCACATGCACAAGCTGGGCCAATCACAGCCCAGCTGTGTCATGTGATTAGCCATGCCCAAATCACAGCTAAGCACAAAACCCCCCCCGAATGAATCAATTTCATTCAAGTAAATGCTTGCTAATAGTAAAGTAATTCTTTGCTATAAGCATATTGTGTAAAAAAAAAAAGAAAAAAGAAATATTGATCACGTCCCCAAAGTAGTACAATGTTACTATGGTAACATTATACCACTTTGGTCATAGTGAAATATGAAAAAAATCTTTAAAAAAGAGAAAAAAAGTAATAAAAAATGTAAATTAATAAAAAAAAATTATCAATTTTTTTTTTGTACTGTCACCAGTCAGTGTCCCTGATCACCACCATGCCAGTTATATGCTGACACTGTACTGCACTGGTGACAGTATGTAAAAAACAAATAGTGAAAAAAATCATTTTTTTTTAATTTCTTCATTTCCGAAAAATTATGACAAAAAAATAATAACTTCAAAAAACTCGCCATGCCTGTTATGAAATATGTCAGATTGTCTACTTTGCAAAAAGGGGTCATTTGGGGGATATCTGTACTGTTCTGACATTCTTGGACCTCAAGAAATTAGATTGGCTGTCAGTACTTCAGGATTGATCAATATTCAGATCTATACCATAGTTTGTGAACTCTATAACTTTCCTACAGACTAAAAATAATAAATACTGATTTGGGTTATTTTCACCAAAGACATGTAGCAGAATACATCTCAGCCTAAATTTATGAAGAACAATTATTTATTTGCAAACTTTTATACAGGAACAAAGAAAAACGTGTTTTTTTTTTCAACATTTTCAGTTTTTTTTTGTTAATTTAGCCAAAACTAAAAACCCCAGCGAACCCACCAAAAGAAAGCTCTAGTTGTGTGAAGAAAATGATAAAATTTTAGTTTTGGTACAATGTTGTATGACCGCGCAATTGCCATTCAAAGTGTGAGAGCGCTGAAACCTGAAAATTGGCCTGGGCAGGAAGGGGGTAAAAGTGCCCTGTATGGAAGTGGTTAATATTCACTTATTGGAATTTTTTTTTCCCAATGACATGTAGCAGAATACATTTTGGCCTAAATTTTTTAAGAAATGTTTTTTTAATTGGATATGTTCTATAGCAAAAAGTCCAAAATACTGTTGTTTTCAAAATTGTCATTTTTTTTCTTTATATAAAAAAAAAATAAATCCCAGTGGTGATCAAATATCACCAAAATAAAGCTCTATTTGTGTGTGAAAAAGGAGATAAATTTTGTTCAGGTACAGTGTTGCTTGACTGCACAATTACCAGTTGAAATAGCGCAGGGCCGAATAGCTAAAAACGGCCTGGTCATGAAGGTGGGCAAATCTTCCCGAAGGCAAGTGGTTCATTTTCATCTAGTGGTCTTGCCATGAACACGCTTTGTATCTTGGGGTGACAATGCCCACTCACTGTACTGTGTCTATGGAGGGGTGGTTTGGTCACCTTAGGACAGAAAGTGTTTTAGGACTACAAAACACCCACTCTCACTCCTTTTTCATAAAATGGGGAGGAAGGGGATTGTAGTTCACATAGGGCAACTGGGCTGGGCTGATGAAAATGCTTGAGACAACAGAACACAGGATAGCACTGGATTTCTGGCAAGGCCAACCACAAAATGTTGTTTTCTTCTGTGGCAGAGATAACTATTGGTGAATAGCAAATGGAGTTGGTGTTTGGAGACCTGGCTGGAGGTGGGAAAGACAATCTAAGCAATGTTCGCAATCTTGACTGTTTATTAATTAACCAAAAGATGTGTTTCGTGAATTCTCATCTGTGGTGATCACACTAATCACCACTTTGTCAAGGTTACCCACACAAGACAGATTGTCTTTTTGAACTCCAATAGTGTCCCCAAGCATTTCCTCATCACCAACTGGTGACCAAACAACCGGTTGCTTCAATCAATATCCCAGTGTCTCTGACCATCATGAAGTTCTCTGAGTGGACCTAGGAATAGGATTAGAAACCGCAGCGATGTGAGTGACCTCTATCTCTGCAGAGACAGATATACAGGTGAAACTCGAAAAATTAGAATAGAATCGTGCAAAAGTTTCATTTATTTCAGTAATGCAACTTTAAAAGGTGAAACTAATATATGAGATAGACTCATTACATGCAAAGCAAGATAGTTCAAGCCGTGATTTGTCATCATTGTGATGATTATGGCTTACAGCTCATGAAAACCCCAAATCCACAATCTCAGAAAATGAGAATATTACATGCGATCAATAAAACAAGGATTGTACATAGAACAATATCGGACCTCTGAAAAGTAGAAGCATGCATATGTACTCAGTACTTGGTTTGGGCCCCTTTTGCAGCAATTACTGCCTCAATATGGCGTGGCATGGAAGCTATCAGCCTGTGGCACTGCTGAGGTGTTATGGAAGACCAGGATGCTTCAATAGCGGCCTTCAGCTCTTCTGCATTGTTCGGTCTCATGTCTCTCATCTTTCTCTTGGCAATGCCCCATAGATTCTCTATGGTGTTCATGTCAGGCGAGTTTGCTGGCCAATCAAGCACAGTAATCCCACGGTCATTGAACCAGGTTTTGGTGCTTTTGGCAGTGTGGGCAGGTGCCAAGTCCTGCTGGAAAATGAAGTCAGCATCCCCATAAAGCTCGTCTGCGGAAGGAAGCATGAAGTGCTCCAAAATCTCCTGGTAGACGGCTGCGTTGACTCTGGACTTAATGAAGCACAGTGGACCAACACCAGCAGATGACATGGCTCTCCAAATCAACACAGACTGTGGAAACTTCACACTGGACTTCAAGCATCTCGCAGTGTGTGCCTCTTCATTCTTCCTCCATACTCAGGGTCCTTGGTTTCCAAATGAGATGCAAAAGTTGCTCTCATCAGAAAAGAGGACTTTGGACCACTGAGCAAAAGACCAGGTCTGTTTTTCTTTAGCCCAGGTAAGACGCTTCTGATGATGTTGTTTGT